ATTTTAAAGATAAATCTGGGGAGAACAGCATGAAAACTGCTTGATTCTTTCCACAGAACAAGAACTATGATTCCAACAGTAATATCTACATACCAAAAGAAAACAAGAAAACTAGTCCCAAATAACTGTCCAGCCCCAAAATGAGGAAGCAGGGTTATTTGTTAAAATTAAAATGTAATTGTGTACTGGAAGATCATGTGTCACAACGTATGTGTAAATCAGGCTGAGTAAGGAAATGCTAAGTTTCTCAACTTCGCAACATTGATATCTTTTTTCATAGGGCTTTTGGTTCATGGAAGTGAAATAGTTAACACCTCATAGGCACTTACAGGCCTCATTAGAAAAGAAATATTTGCAGATTGGTCTTGGTCAAGTCAGCACTATTTAATTAACAAATGAGTGAATTAGCCATAAAAGAATGCTCAGGGCTTCCTTGTCTGGCTGGCTAGAGCCTCTTTATTGGAAGAATTGCAAGCACTGCTGGTTTTTATCACATCATGCTTACCTGTCATCGTCTAGTGAAGAGTTGTATGACCTAAAAGTATATAAACTGCCTCATTTGGAGAGACTTGATAGCAGCAGAGGCTGTCACTGCTACTCTGTGCTCTCTGCTGCAGCTGTGGTAGTAACCTGTTTCTGTTCCAACCTGATTACAACTGCATTCTGGTTATTTGGTGACAGGTATGTCAATGGTCAAATGTAAAATATCAGTTTTATATTTCTTTAATAGCTATATGAGTAGTGTCATAGCATTTATTGTAGGTAACCCATACGTGTTTTCTTTCAAGGTTAACTTTGGTATCTTCTTAAAAATTCTCAGGATGCTGATTTCCAAACTAAAAGCTCAACAAATGAGCTTTCATGACTACAAATACAGGTATGTAATAAATAACAAAGAAGTTCTAGGCCTTTTTTTTTTTTCTCACAACATCTGAAGATTGCCAGTTTGCCCTTGCAGATTATGCATTTACCTACCACCACCAAGTATAACAAATATTCAGAGTATGATAAAGGAAAGCCATCTGGGGAAAGAGGCTCCACAAACATTTTCTTATCTGAGAGGTAAAGGCAGGTCAGCACCTGTGGGCTTTTTCTCAAGGAATTTGCAATGCAGTAAGATCTCTGCTCTCAGGTATTCTCACTGTACACCTGTGGCATCTACTGCTGTGTCACATTTTTCCCTTGACTGTGACAAAATGTCCTCAAAAGAAATGGAAGTGTAGAAGATTCGTGGGACATTCCTAAGTGACATTAGCATTTAGGATCTGCTTCTTTTCACAGACACAAAAATGTCCCTGGTCTTCTTGTAAACCCAAATCAGAACATCATCCTTAACCTGCACTCTTGAAGGCCCTGGTGTGGACTCTCTTGGCCAGAGTCTCAACGGTACATGAGGTACATCATGTCTTATGTAAAGTCCTGGAGGTGGCCTTTGCACAAACATCTTCCCACTTTGCAGGAAAAGCAAGGGCAGGCTGCTCTGCAAAGAGGTAAAGGTGCAATGAAAACTACACTCAAATCAGTGGAAAGCTGAGGATTTGTTAACTTTTTCCACATCCCAGTTCTTTTGAGTTTTTAGTATCTTTAATCAAAGCATTGTGAATCCCTGTCTGCTACTTCAGTCCTGCCTTACTAAGATGAATTATTTTACTGTCTAAAAAGACTGGGCAGGGGAAGAAGGGATGGAAATTCCACCACTAACTTCCTATTCTAATACTAAATCCCTAACAAGAAGTGTATTTCCATTTTCCTTCAACACTCAAGGTCCAAAAGAATTCAGCTATATTCTCCAGATTGCTATAGGAAGATTGTTGTAATGATAGTCACAGACAGCAGTGCTTGTATTTAAAATTGCATCATGTTTTGCATTATCTTAACTACTGCTTATAATTTTGCTAAACTTTTAAAGATTCAAGCTATTCCTCACACTGCAAGTCTTCCTCAAAACTCACTCTTTTGAGATCTCTTCTTTCATCCATGCAAACATGTTCCCAGACTTGTCAAAGAAGATTCTATTACATTAAAATTATTCTGGTTACATTTTTTAAAAAGTAGACTGCTGACAGTACCACAGAAAATTTCTATGCACCTATATAACTTTTTCAGCAGTGATAGGAAAGTCTGAGGACTCTGTTAACTGATCACTCATGTTCAGCTGTGTAAATATTATTCTGTTACCTAGCAGCATAAGTTTGATGATAGCGGCCTTCCTGTTCAATTTTTTGTCCCTAACTTTTCACTATAAACCCAAAGTCAAGATTCCCTCCTGTACAGGCTCTTCTGATAGTGTGCTCCAAAATTTATATCTAGGAATTTGTCCTCAAAAATCAGAAAATTACTAATTCCAGAGTCAGAATATTGAGGCAATATTTCTGGAATCATTTCCTTGTTGTTGAATTTTTTATTTTTGCTTCAATGTGGTGGTTTCACTTGGCTAGCAGCCAAACCCAGCCACTCACTCACTCTCCCCCTACCCTAGGGAATAGGGTAGAGAATTGGAGGGGTAAGGGTAAAGAGACTCATAGGTTGAGATAAGAACAATATAATAATTGAAATAAAATAAAACTTCAAATAATAATGACAATAATAATGGTAATATTAGTGATAAAATAATTGTAAGAATGGTAATAATAAAATATACATGAGTGATGCACATCGCTCACCAACCAGAAACCAAGCCCAGACCATTCCCAGATAAAAATCCCAGAGAAGTGACAATCCTGAAACTGAAACAACAAACCTGGAAGAGCAAGAGCCCGAGTGAGAGTCAGAGAGCCCGACACCCTTATTAATACACTGAACATGACATTATATGATACGGAATATCCCATAGGCACATCCAAATGCCAATTTGGATTACTTATATTAATAATCCTTGCATTGGGACCCCCAGACCCTACCCCTGTAGACTTGGCAAAACACAAAGTCCTTCAGCTTCCAGCGACAATTGAAAACATTGGTATGTTATCAATATTCTCCTCATAACAAATTCCATACTGAAACCAAAACACAGTGCTGTTCTAGCTACTAAAAAGAAACATAGCTCTGTCCCAGCCAAAAACCAGTACAACCAAGGATGCTGAAAAGAGACTATAATCAAAATTTTCTATTTAAGATTGGCAAGATCTACACTTGTGCTGATTCCATTGTTGGGGATCCATGAATTTGTATTTACCTTCATCACCGATGAACAAGTGGAAGGACTTTCAAGACATATAAGACTTTTCATTCAGCTGACAATGAGCTCATTTCATGTAAGTACTGTTTTGCAAGTACCTTCTTTAGGGGTCACAGATACACATATATATGATGCTCACCTATAGATACCACAGATATACAGTATTCTTATTTAATATTATCCATCATGTCTCTAAATATGCTATTAGAGTGACAAGATAAGTTCACAAACTGCATATTTAAAATATGTTAGTCCCAAAGAGCAAAAAAAGGAGTCCGACATGTTCAGAAACTGTTCTGTGTTCTCTAGTAATGGGTGAAAGCTCCTTACAGACCCCTGTTCTGAAAACAGGATTCAAGTGATCTATTTAAAATATGAGTTTCAAGGATGTTAATTCCTAAAAAGCACTGGATGTTGGGGGTTTTTTTAACAAGATTTTCAGGTGATCTGTTGACTTGACAGTCATGCTGAGGGGAGAGTTGGTTCTGAACTCACCAATTTCAATGCATAGTATATGTTCAGCATACGTCAAACACAGTACAATGACCTTGTTGTCATGCCACTGTAGAAACAAAAAACAATTAAGACTCTGTACCAGGAGATACAAGGATCATCTTCACTTTAGCTTGAGTAGTTGGGGCAGTCAGTTCATGACTGACACGTCACTGACACAGCGGACCTGTGTGGCAAGACTTACCTTTTAGGGCTTTTTCCAAAAGGAGTTGAATGTAGTCTACATGGCATTTGCGGCAGTTTGACGAAAGGAGATGCAGATCTGAATACTGTGAGAGCAGAGTTAAAACATCTGCTGTGAGGAGAAGCATGTGAAGAATAAGCAGGAAACACTTTGTGTGTGGCTCCAGCCTAAAGGACACACTCTAGATATGCCTATCAGATAAAGGCACTCAAGCAAGTGCATTGAAGACACTTCTTGACAAGAACTTGTCAGGGCCATGACTCACCTGAATTGTGTGCTGTTCAGCAGTTTTAACAGAGGTACTTCCATGCAAGCCTAAGGAAAAACTCAAAGACTTTTCTTTCTTTTTTTTAATGTGAAAAGCACACCTACATACTTCCAACACCTACATACCTCAGGCTTCCATCATTCACATTTAGGCATCAAAGATGTCATCTGAGATGCCTTTTTGAGGACCTCAAATTGGGGCTTCTGTCTCTTTCATGGTTTTAAGTATAAATTCAACAAAGCAGTTAATGTATTAGAAGTGAAACACAGAAACCCACTGTATATTCAGTGAAGAGGCACCAGTAAAAAAGTCCACTTTTGCACACTAGACCCCTGATTAGTGCACTCGTCTGGGAAACAAAGACAATACAGGTCCCAGCTAGGAGATTGTTTAATGTATTCCAGGGAAGTGTCCAATAAATCTTACACAGCACTGTTTCCTTCTGCCCAAAAAAATCCTTTGTAAGCCAGCAACCAAAGATGCAAAATGAACTGAGAAGAAAGAGAATGAAAGAGAATTTGAATCTATGACTTAATTGTTAGAGCAGTTGGCTGGGAAAGGGACACTTTGAAGCCTCAGCACCTGCCCCTTAGTGTTGATACTATTTACATTAAATCACAATAGATTTAAAAAGGTAAGAGAAAACTAAAGTAATCAGAAGAGCAAGGAGTAGAAAATCTGAACATATAGTATAACAATTGCTTTACTCATCCTTTTCTTCCACTCATAGCCTGAGACATGGCTGTGGTGAGGCACTAGGTATTTCTTGTACTTCCAGGTTATTGAGCAAAATATGGGATATATCAGAACAGCCAGCTTCTCCTCCTTTGAGGAAAAGCACATTGACCCACTGACTCTAGATAGATCCTTAACACAGGTGTTTTAGTCCATGCAAGCAATAACTGAAGCTCTTGCATTTTCTTATTTGTCATTTTTTTCTTGGTTGCTTTCCATCCCAGCTTCCAGTTGGGTTATCGTGACTCCCAGCTTAGGTGCCCAGTGTCCCGTCCTCCACCCCATTCAGTATGTACAGGAACTTAGCACTTGATACTTGAACTAGTGCAGCCCTGAATATTCAACCTTGGGTCACAGCATTTAACTCCCCACTGAATATAGTTTCCTAGCCCTCAAATGCTCATATTTGCCATGTTCCTACTGGTCAAAGGACTTCTGGTATTTTCTCCCAGCAATAAAAAGATCATCTCTACATTTTCCTCTCATGGTTCCCAAGATTTGTCTGGCAAGGGGAACACCTGTATACTTGTGTCTCATATCTACTCCCATATCTCTACAGTGAGCTGTTTTTCCTTCTGGTACTCACTGCAGCTTGACAAACAGGAAAACTCTTCCCATTTTGGTTACAAATATATACAAGGAGACTCAAGTCCTTATGGGATGCTATTCATAAATTCTAAGATTTTAAGGTAGTCTCTTTTTAATGGAGTTGCCATATATCCAGTTCTCTCAGAAGTCACATAAGGTAAATCACATAGCAATTTAACTTTCCTGGGCAGAGAAAGAGCTTTCTTGCTGTCTTCTGAAAGAACTGGGAAGTTTAGGAAGTACTAATAATTCTTCAGGTGAAAGAATAACAAATGAAGTTCATTCCTGCAATACTCAATTTGAAATGTCTGTGTATCAAGCTATTCTACCCCAAAAAATTCATAACTATGAGAATGTCTGTCCTCATCCAAAGTTTGGTCTCCATTTCCCCAAGGGATATGTTAATCCACCAAATGTGCAAAGTGGCACTATGGCCTCCTATACGTACACTCACAAAAAATACTGTACTCATGAACAAATTTCTAGATAAAGATAAAATTTATCAGAGCAGTCATGTGAGAGGAACAGATAGATGGACTAGCATCTGCAGGTGGAAGTTTCCAGCCTATACAGTCAGCAGAGTGTTAGAGATGTTTATGCACTTGACTCTCTTTCAATCACCCTGTCTTGGTAACATGTAAGTAGGAAGAAATTTAAGGTACTGAAGGAATGACAGTGTAGCTCTGACAGCTCTACCCCCTCATATCTTGGTTGCAAGCATGAAAGTGTGAAGGAGCCACACTCAATTACAATGTTCAACCCTAAATGGTCCAAATTCCACAGTGAGCTGTTAATTGAAACTAAATGGTTATTCTCAGATAGACGCTTATGCACAAGTCTACATTTGTTTCACTATAACTACCTACTCTCCAGTTTACAGGAACTGGTCATTCTGCAGGCACAGAGCACTGCTCTCTGCCTCAATCTGTGTTCTGCAGAGCTGCTGAGTAATTACTCTTTCAGTAGTACTCCCATTAATCTACCTGCTTAGCACAGTTGTCCATTACCCTTATCTTCCTGCCTTGTCCTTGGTGAAACAGGACAGCAGTTTCCAGGCCTCTTTTCTTTAATGAGGTACCCAGCAATATCTCTGGCTAGAAGTCCTAACTACTCACTAACTCACTACTTTGACATATGTCTACCCTCTTCTACCATCTGAGACATGAAGTCATCAAAGCATTATTGCACTTTTGCCATAACTTGTGGTGATTCTTGTTTTTACCCTGTATGTATGCGTTAGTGCTCTGGTGTATGTGTGCATCGGTGTTTTGACAATGTTATTGAGGCTCTAATGAAAAATTTCTGCTACAGCTTGAGGGAAAAAATGTCTAGGCAGGCAGAAGGGAGTTCATGCAGAGTCATCACCTTAAAGGGGGCCTTCTGATGTGGTGTTGAAGTACACGTTCCTCAGTTAGACATATCCTTACTTGGAGAGGTTGCAGTGACTAGATGTTATTTTAAGAAACACAAGATCATTTTAAGTGAAAATTTTATTTACTGGCTTGTACAAAGAAATCTGATCTAGAAGATAATTTACTCATTCCTCCTAGAAAACACAAACTTCATTCCTTTTAGAGGAACATGCACATGCTTGGCTACATGGCATGCTTTAGAAGCGAAACCTCTTTTCAAAATACCCAAAGATCTTAGACAATGTTTATTGCAGATTCTCTTTTTTAGCGACAACATTATTTATGAAGGGATTAGCAAAAAAAATCACATAAACTGTACACAATTACATTTGTTTAGACCATAAATCTTCTCAGTAGTTTTAACAAGCAGTTAAACTGTTTCGTTAAAGAAAAACAATTAACTCTGGGATCTCATCTATAGGTTTTAATGCAAAGATTTCGAAGGAACATAATATTAAATTCTAAATATGGGTTCTGTTGTAGATATGATACTTTTTTTTTTAGAAAGTGGAGAAATATAAACATCTTGGCTCCCCTGTGCATGTGAACTGGTGCCACATAAAAACATACTGTTGTATTTTTTTATACTGTTATTGTAAAATAACAATAACAGTATAAATAACAAATAAATAACAAATAAATAAAACAACAAAAAACAAATAAAAAACAAATAAAATAACAAATAAATAACAAATACTGTTATTTTTTTATACTGTTGTTATGGATAAAACCCAGTTATTTAATGAGTAATTTATCATGCTGCCCTTGTCAATAGAACTGAACAAACAAATGTGAGACCTGCACATCCTTTCCTATTGGTTATTATGCTAACTAACATTTCTTCTAAATCTGATTCTTTTTCCCTCACACTGTGATGATTTTTGAAATGTGTGCCTTAGAAGTCATGGAATATGGGAAAGATTTTGAAGTATGAAGTTATATGTATTGCAAAAAAAAAAGGAATATGAGGAAGTATTAAAGAAATCAGGATGTAAAATCAACACCAAACATAAATGATCAACTGAATTTTCCACCTTCTAGTATGATTTTTCAGTGATTCTACCTGTCACTGCATGTTCTGATCTTACAGCAGCAGTGAACTAAATTCACACAGGGATTTACAAACTTACATTCAACACAGAGGTGCCACTAATATTCACAAAGTCCTCTCAGTCTGGTGAGCTTCTACATTTCTGGGAGTAGATTTCATCAAGCTTAGCAGTCACAGAACTTAAGAGCACCATGTAGTTTAGATCCTATTTCTGCTTGGGGTGCCTGTGGGGCCAAATTGAGAGTTCATGCTCAGGACACAAAAAACCAACCTGGCAGAGACGTTTTCATGGACTTTCTACACAAAAAAGAGAACTATCTCCAGTTGCTGTTCTGCATTAAAAAGCTGCTTTTTAAGTTGTTGAACTTGTATTTACCCATCAAAACCATCCATGGGTTCTGATTCTTCTATTATTACTGTTGTAAAATTTAACCCCACAGTAAAATATCATCTATTATAAACCCCAATGATCTCAATATCTTGTATCTGTGCCAGACTGTTAGGCTGAGCTGCATGCATGTAAACTGTTTTAATCTGAGATCAAATATAGAAAGAGAGGAGGAAAATGGAAAGAGTAATTTTGGGCTTGGTTTAAAACAAATTTTATCTCTAGGATCTTTTTTTTTTTTTAAGGTGTTTATTTAAATCTGTTTCAAAGGAAAAATGGCATTTCAAAATAGCCTTAACACTTATCAAAATAACACTTAAGCCTTAAACTAGCACAAATAATTTAATATATCACTACTTTTTAAAAAACACCCAAATGTTTTGGGTAGTCTTAGTCTTAGCCAGTGGTCTTATGTGCAAATTCAAACAAGCACATAGATAATATGAGACCCCAAGCTGCATTTTTTTTTTTCAACCAAGTTTAGAAACAGCAGCAATCTCAGTATAACAGCAGTAGTTTGAAAAAAAAATATCATGTGGTAGCAAAATGAAGATAACATGGAAGAACAAACTAGGTTGTATAGTCTCTGTTCTTCAGCATCTGCACCAAATGTGCCCTACATTTGTTAAGGGCATACAAAAACAAGTTAATGGGTACTTCAGTGATTGGTAAATACAACTAGTTTCCTTTTTGAAAATTAAGAAACATTGTTTATATTTGTAGTCCTAACTTTAATGTCATCTTTAAATGAAAACTTCAGGTATTTCCTATATACTCTAACTTTTTCCTCTTACTGTCTTTCTCTTACAGGGTTTTTTTGTAGCAATTTTGTATTGCTTTGCTAATGGAGAGGTAAGAGACAATGCTATGAGAAAAGTTTTTAGTTGATTAGTAAAGTATGTTAATGACACCAAGAAGGATGAACACATTAACTAGCTTTGGTTATTCAAGAGCATGCATGCATTCTTTTGAACTGGTATGATTGTTTTGTATGAACAGAACAGCAAGGCTTCTCACAGGTTTGGGATTCAAATGCAAAGTATTTCCACTGAATGAAGCCTGAGTGGCTCCAGCAATGTGGACTTACGAATATCCTGTGGTGTCTGAAATACCACTAGAGGTTTAGGGTCCGCCATCTAAACCACATTATTTTAATGAGCTGGAATCCTACACTTCATGTCTGGCCCTGCTAAATCCTCTCTTAGTTTACCCCTTAAAGCCATGTGAAGCAACTGAATTTGGGATGATTTAGTATCTTACACAGCAACAGGTTGAAAAAATAATTTCATGCATCCAATACTCAGGACATCCCTAAACTTGGTGTGAGGGGATTCCTTGTCTGGAAGTTGTCTCCTGCTATGCCTCAAGGGACAGCTGGGAGTTCAATTTGCTCCATGCCAGGATTTAGGCAGATCAGTGATGGCTCTTATGCAAGGAGTTGACAGCAGAGAAAGCTAACCTCATGCTCAATGTAGGGTGAAGACTGAATTCAGACCAAGTTGTTCAGGTTTTTGTCCAGCTGAGCTTCAACCTCCCGCCAAGGACAGAGGTTCCACCACCTCTCTGGTCCTCTGTTACAGTGCGTCTCTACTCAGGAAGAAACATCGTTTCCATATATTCTGTTAGAACTTGTTCTATTTACTTCAATTGATGATCACTGTTTCTTAAGTCCCTATCAAACATTTCTGTAGAGTGCCTAGCTCCATCTCCTCCACGTTCTCCTCATAGGCAGTATTTAGGCCTTCAGTGTGAACAAGCCCCATTTACTCAGCCTCTACTCATAGGGTAAATTCTCCAGCCCTGATCTCTGCTGCTAAGTTCAAGCTTATCAACACAGTTCTTGTACTAGGGGCCCACAATTAGATGCAGTATTGAGAGGTAGTCTAACACTTCCCTTATATTTGGTCTGGGTGCAGATCTCCATTACTTGCAATAAATAGATATGTCTCCAGCATCAGTAGCACTTAAGTGCCTGTCACAACCACCTGTCACCACACACTACACTGACACAGTGTATGAATCTGGACATCTTAAAGGCACCAGTGAAACAAATGCGATGGGCTTTATACAAAAGGTAGACCATATGTTCCTAATATTTAACAGGGAATCCTGGAGCAATTTTGGAACTACTTAAATTTAAAAGAGAGCTGGCACTTGTCTGCAATTCAGGAAAACTCGTCCAACATTTGTGAAGAGCACAAAACTGCTTGCATCTCTCATCAGCAGTTAAAAGTGGCTCTTTTGGCCTTATGCCTCCTTGTCCAGCTGATATCCCAGGCCAGAAGGCCTGCTGGTTAGAGCAAGGGCACATCCCACTGCTCTGGGCGGGCCTGAAGCCTACCCTCCGTCTGTAGTGCTGGCTTGGGTGACGCAGGCAGCAGGACACTCAGTGCTGAGGATTTAAGGCAGACTGCTGGAAAAAAGTTTCAACAAAACAAATCAGATACCCAAGCACAACAGTCCAGCAAATCTGTGTGGTCCTAATTTCCACAACCCTTGGACTTTCTTCATCCTCACTTCATCAGGTTGTAAACATCAAAGTCACTTGAGCTCTCCCTTACACATGCATTAGGATCACAGTGTATCAGAGATTCAGGGGCTAGAAAAAACTTTCCTAAATTAGAGTGAAGAGGGTGGACTTTTAAGATTGACTTAGAAGACAAGTCTTTTTCTATCCTACAAGGACTTCACCAGATATGAGTTGCACCCCAAAGGGGCAGGCAGCTTAGCACTTCCACAGTCCCTCTCATTTTACAACTAGCATTTGGGCTAGTGAACTGCAGGATGGCCATAAGACCATGGACAGACTGTTTTCTTCTCCTCCTAGGTGAAAGCAGAGCTCCAGAAGCACTGGTCCCGCTTCCTGCTGGCAGATCCCTTTGGCTGTAAACTCTGCTTTCTTGGGGAAAACATAAAATACCTCAGGAAATGTTCACAGAAACAAAAAAGGCAGCACCTTAGCAGCAAACACATGTGCCTGGAGGCAAGTGAGCTGCACAGAGGCATGCAGCTCCAGCAGGTACTAGTAAAGCAGAGGACAGATCTCAACCTAGAGCAAGGCTGTGCTCTCCCCTCTCATCCACGGGCAAGCATGTCAGACAGCAGCGAAGGAGAAGTCACCACTGGAGAGACAACTGAGGAAGTCTTTGAAGAAAGCGAGATTTAGAAAGCTGTCCACTAGGACAGCACCTTCCGTCAGCCACAGCACTTCGACAGATCTTCCCTCACCTCTGGACTGTACAGATCTCTGGGATGTGCAATGCAAGGAAGAAGCAGTAAATATCCCAAGTGTCCCAATTTTCTTAATATGAGAAAATATTTATCTGGATGTTACTAACCTGCATGGCTGGGGTAGAAGAGGTTTGTTGGATTAAAAGATGCTTTGAGTTGACCAGTCTGGAAGATAACTGATGCTGAAAGAGGTGTACATAGGGGAGCAGGATGTACTCCGGAAATGAGTAGACTCTGAAAACACACATCGTGTCCCTGCCACTTCATCCATGCTTGACTGCCATTCTATTCACATAATAGAGAAGTTATTTCTTTTTCTCTTTCGTAGGTGTGTTCCTTAGATATGTGTGTAGAAGACTCTTTTCTCTGCAGACTGAAATCATTCCCCATCTCAAAAAAAAAAAAACAGCTTCAAGCCAAAACAGACACATTTTGTTTGAGCAAAATGAAGAGATTTATATATATATTTTTAAAGTTTGGGAATAAACCAACTTTTGCTTGCATTTACGAGCATCTTCACTTACAATTTAGTGCTGGAAATGTCATTATGAAATGAAAGACCAAAATATTTTCTTTTGAAAGTGCCCAAATGAAATGTTTTGATACAATTTTTTTTTGCTCATTTTCGTTTTCACTATTTTTTTGACACAAGCCACACATTTTGATGCATCTGCAGGTTTGCCCTAACTGTGGCCCAAATGACAAGATAGAGCAGTGGTAAGTGCTGTTTCCACCTTCCTCCCAGGGGACCCAAAATGGATGATGATATGAGATTGTGTTAGCATCAAAAGTATATTATGAAGTTCTTCTCCTAGCATTTAACAAGAATCATGATGAAATTTTGTCACATGCAGCTCACCCAGACACCTAAGAAATTCAGTTAGGTTTGTTAATATTCTATGAGCCAGTTTCCAAACTTGCAGATGAATGCCAATTGGCATACTGAAAGAAAAAAGAAAAAGGCAATAGAAATATTAGCGGGCAATATTTATCTAAAATATAAACATGTACCCAAGGCACAAACAGTTGTAACTATCTAGCCTGCAGTTAGTTACAGAGCATATGTTATTAATTCTTCCTGTACTTTACATTTTTAACCTAACTTCCTGAAAATGCAGTAAAACATATCGTAGCATCATAGAATCATAGAATCCTAGAAATGGTGGGGGTTGGAAAGGACCTCTGGAGCTCTTCTAGTCCAACGCCCCTGCCAAAGCAGGCTCACCTCCAGCAGGCTGCACAGGACGGCATCCAGACGGGTTTGGAATCTCTCCAGAGAAGGTGTCTCCACAACCTCTCTGGGCAGCCTGTCCCAGTGCTCCTGGCACCCTTACAGTAAAGAAGTTTTTCCTGATGTTTAAGTGGAACCTCCTGTGTTCCAGCTTGTGCCTGTTGCCCCTCGTCCTATTGCTGGTCACCACTGAAAAGAGACTGTCCCCATCCTCTTGACAGCCACCCTGTAGATATTTAGAAACATTGATAAGGTACTTTCTCAGTCTTCTTTAGGCTAAAGAGACCCAGCTCTCCAACTATATCAGGTTGCTCAGAGCCCTGTTCCATCTGACCTTCAATGTTTCCAGAGATGGGGCTTCTACCACCTCTCTTGGTAACCAGTTCCAGTGTTTCAGCACCCTCAGTGTAAAACACTTCTTCCTTATATCTAGTCTCAGTCTCCCCTCTTTTGGTTTAAAACCATCAACCCTTGTCCTATCACTACAGGCCCTCCCTATCTTTCTTGTAGGCTCCTGTATTGCGTTTGTGTGACAAGGTTTTGGTAGCGGGGCCGGGGGGGGACATAGGGGTGGCTTCTGTGAG